ATAATAATAATAATAATATTAATAATATTGTTATGCACACTTAAACTGTGTTATAATAACATTTAAAAAAGCAAAAGCCACGAAAAAATTCTGATGATTGAATCATTTTGACAATAATTTTATTATTGTCAAACAAAAAAAGTTCAGGTTTTTATTTGCATCTTTATGTGTAAAGCATATGTATATTAATAAACAAATAATGCATATTTTTAAGGATACTCTTTTCTTGGACAGACTCCATGTTCTGGACAGTGAAAGGCTCTCTTGTGAAGGGAAAGCCCAGAGCACTAAGTCAGTTTGGGTTTCCAGTCTGGGTTCAGGATGTAGATGCAGCAGTGCACATCGCCAAAACAGGACGAACTCTCTTCTTTATGCATGATATTTACTGGAGGTAAGACAATAAATGGATGGCATGTATCTGATAAAGATCAAGTAAATGTTTCCCCCAGTGCAATTAAAACTTTTATTTGCAGGCAGGTTCACACATTAGGGCATTTTACTTTGCTGAGCTTGATTATTTGATGTGATTTAACTCAACTGCTTTCGCTCCACAGGATTATATTATCATGCCTTGGGCCATTTCTTTGTTTTTCTTTTATGAGTTCGGGGAAGAAGAGACTTGATGAATGCATGTATGCGGGAACAGCTAATTGAATTAAATCAAATTATACTCTTCTTCTCCTATTTTAGCCACAGTAAAGTGTTGTTTAAAGACTGTGTGGTATTAATGGAGGTATAATGCCATAGCAGGGACAAATGACAAAGCAGATGTCAATATGGACTTTTAAAAAGTTGGGCTCAGATATGACTAAAGGATTCCCTCTGTCATTTGGACCTCACGGAGAGAGAGGAAAAGGTTCACTGTACACAAGTTACATGTTTAGTCCAATCTTTGAACGACAAACAGATGATTGTGAGTCACGAGTTCTAACAGGGTTACATTACTTGCAGTTACAACGAAAACCGAAAGGTTATGGATTTTGGTTACCCAAGGTTCATCAGCGAGGGCTTTCCTGGACTCAACAGCACAATAAATGCAGCTCTTCATAAAGATGGTGAGGAAAATATTACACCCTACCAAGTGCATGCTTTTTGTTTGATTAAATCTTTCTTTATGCAGTAACTACTTAACATACATATCAACAGTCCTCAAACTAGGTGATAATCCTGTCTGATTGTTTAGGATGTAGGTTTGGCTGTGTTTTAATGGCTTTTGCAAGTTTCATTATCATTGGTAGCAAAGGAATGCTCATTTAAATTCAATACCAGCTCTGTGGAGTTCAGTCTGAGCAGAGCATGTGGTTCCCCACTTAGATTTAAATGGTATAATTTACCACTTAAAATGCTTGGTATGATATACTAAAATTTTTCTGTATGATATATATGAGACACTCATTGTGTAAATCATTGACATCAACATCAACAAACTGGAGGAAGGAAATCTAGAAAATCTAACATGAAAAAGTAGAAATGCAGTATGTAAATTATTTCATTTGCATATTAAAAATCTTATTTTGTTGTTTTTGTTTTTTTCTTTTCTCATCTTAGGCTTCATCTACTTCTTTGTGGGACCACAAGTCTACAAATACGACTACACGCAGAAACTTGTTGTAGGAGTTGAGAAAGCAAATTCCTGGCTTGGTTGTTAAAGTACTGTCTGAAATCCATGCAACAATGATATTAGCTAAATTAAAGAGGGCAAATGGAAACACATTGTACTTCTCAGTTTTTAGCGGTATTCTATTTATCAGTAGTCATGTCATGTCAAAATAAAGAATTACAATTGAAAACTTGCTATTAGATTTTTGTAGTTTTTCTATGCCAATCATATTTTCTAATCATGCCTTTGCTGATCAGCATATGAAGTTTGTTTGATTTATAGATGTAAAGAAATCCACATGAGGTATAGACGCATATAAACATGAGACAGTGTACATTAAGTTTTTCTCCTACCTGACTGAGCAGGAAAAAATGCAGTTTTCTATGCTATGGAACAAACCGTACATATGATTATCGCCATTATAGACAGAAAAGCCAGACATATGTAGACATTTCATTGTGAGGTTATAACCACAAAACCTCTTGGGGCAAATATACCCAGCTTTAACAGCCATCATGGAGCACTTTGGGGCCATGTGATTGCAAAACAAGCTCAGGAATACTCCCATATAAAAAATGTGAAGCGTGGTTGAAATGTGCATTTAAAACATGGATTTGTTGTGGATACCCGTTTTGGGCTCTCTGATGTTGGTGGAAATCTTGTGGACTCTACCCATTGACAAAGATCAGCAGAGGCTTGAGGATGTGGAGCTGGCTGAGGTTTGTGAATGGATGAAAGGCTTACGAACTTTGTGTAAAAACCATATAAATTAGAATTGTTGTTTCAGTTAGAAATGTTGGAGATAATGTTTGTAGAACCTTTAATGTAAGACTGTGAAGACTGCAATGGCTTCAATTAAAATGGTAGAATTATGAGTGTATTTCGTTTATTTAAACTAGTAGTGCTACAGTTCAGTGTGTGTGTTTTCTTGCTATTAAACATATGATACATTCACAAAATTTCTATTTGAAGCGTCCTGCATTTTTTTCCTTTCACTTGTTTTGAAGTTTATGTGTAAGCATCTGAAAAAAACTCGCTTGCTCTCTCTTTTCAGCTGTTACAATAATAAGCAGGAGGGAATCTTCCTCATCTTTGCTAGACTGACATATTTAACATATTTTATTAGGTGTTTAAGGAAGAGAAATAATTAAAATATGTTTTAGATTAAAAATTATTAATAAAATCCAGCTTTACATTTTACACACCTCGTCCTAAGCGTCCAGATCTCAACTCTTCATCTCAACAGGATTACCTCAAGAGGTTTTACAGTCTGAATCTGGGAGACCACAGGCCTCCAGTAAGAAGTGTGAGGTCTGCATCCACCATGGAGGAGAAGATCCAAGAAATGCAAAACTTCTTTGGTCTGAAGGAAACAGGAAATATGGACCCTCACACCCTGAATGTGATGAAGGAAGCAAGGTGTGGAGATCCGGATGTGGACAACTTCGCCTTTTACCCTAATAGGCCTAAATGGAAGAACCACATCATCACATACACGTGAGATTGCATTTTCCATGTTTCCCAGATTTCACAGCAATCTGCCGTTATTTGTGAATGTAGTCAAATGGCGTAAAAACTCTGAGAGAAAATATTAAAAAGTGTAGTGTACAATCTTACAATATTGTACTATTATTTTAAGTTAAGTTTATTAGTTACTTGACTTCCACATTTCGTTTGTTGAAGCATGTATAGAAAGCGAGTTTGAATGAATAGTTCTGTACTGCAAAGACTCATTGGAACATGAAGTTTTCTTATTGGTTATTTTTCATTTTGCTGGGTTTAGACTTCCTTGTTGTGAATGTATGATGTGGTTTACAGCATAATTCCAGCAACTGTGTGGTGTAATAAGAGGTAAAATTGATATGTATGTAATAAGAATGAATAAGAATGTGAATTCTGGATATGAAAGTTTGAATATGCAGATCGAAGGCCCTGAATAGCACGAGGAATCTTCTTTTTATAGATATAAATCTAAAGCAAATAAACTGTTGATGGCAATAGCATGAAATATAGTAGGAACGCTAAATAATGCTATAATAGCAACGATTAACAATATTATACTGTAGAGTTTATATTCCACTTTTGCAATTAGAAAATAATCTTGTAAATTGCTTAAAATTTCTTTTGACCACCAGAGGATATGCTAGTATTTGTAGCAACATATGTTGAAACATGTTGTTCCTGATGCCTCATGTTTTTCTCAATTGCTGGCATGCAGGATTGCCAGATACACTCCAGACATGAAGAAAGAGGATGTGGAAAAGTCTGTTCGTTCAGCCTTGAAGATGTGGAGCGATGCAACCCCGCTGAAGTTCATCAAAATCAACCATCGAAAAGCTGATATTGTCTTCTCTTTTTCTCGCAGAAGTAACTGTGAAAACGTGTCTAAGGACTTTTAATCGTGACTTTTAATTATGATTAATAAAAATCTGATCCTGTGTTTTCCTGTAGCTCATGGAGATTTCTTTCCCTTCGATGGACCTGGGGGCGTGTTGGCTCATGCCTTCATGCCAGGAATGGGGATGGGTGGAGATGTGCACTTTGATGAGGATGAAACATGGACGGCAGGGACTCAAGGTTTGTCAGTCAAAACATGAATGCAGTTTGAAAGCCCAAAGATGACACTAGGCAAAAATTGGGAATTAAATACATATTCTGAGCCAGACAGAAGCATCCCAGCAGTTTGTAATGAAATAATAACAACTATTTGCAACTGTGTTTCAGGTTATAGCCTGTTGAGTGTTGCAGCTCATGAACTTGGCCACTCACTTGGTTTGACTCACTCTAGAGACCCCTCTGCTATCATGTACCCCAATTACAGACATCAGAGCGATGCCAAGTACTCGCTCTCTAACGATGATGTGAGGGGTATCCAAACTCTGTATGGTAAAGAACAAAACATAAAACATTTGAAATATTGAATTCATAAATCATTAAACACTGAAATAAAATTCTCAGAGCGTATTATATATTATATACAATGTTTTCTATGTGACTATTTCACAGGTGGGCCCAACAAAAAGATGGAAACCCAGGTGGCTTCAAAAAAATGTGACCTAACGTTTCCCCAACTTTTTGATGCAGTAACACTGATTGAAAATGAGATTTGTTTCTTTAAAAACAGGTACAATGTATTGCCACTTAGAGGTGCACAACATCTTAAATAACCTCCCAACAGCAACTCACTTTTCTTGTTTCATTGCAGACACATGTGGATGAGAACAACAAGGACAACTTATTGGAATCGTTTAACACAAGGCCACATTACCACGTATTTACCGAGCATCAGTTCTCAGATTGATGCCGCTTATGACATCCCAGCCAAAGGCGTGGCGTACATATTCACCGGTACAGTAATGGGCAGCCTGCAAAGCATCACTTAGACGTTGTCAGCATGACAAGGCTTGATTTCCAGTAGCAGAACACGCAAATTACAGCCTTGTGCAACATAAGTGTTGCAGTTCATGCAAGAGGCTCATTGAGTTTGGCAGGGATTGTGGTACGTTGCTGTTTTTCATAGTGTCCCCAAATCCAGTGACATGGCTGTGTTTTTCCAGGTCATAAGTACTGGGTGGTTGAACAGCTTAAGATGAAAAGTCGCGCTGGCTCCATTTACGAGTACGGCTTCTCTTCCAGAGTCAGGCGGGTTGATGCTGCTGTGCATGTCAGCGAATACGGGAAAACAATGTTCTTCGTAGGAGAGTTTTATTACAGGTAACTTTTTAAAGTGCCGCTTTACAGTTAGAATTGTTCTCTGTTCTGATTTATACTTTAACATGATGAAAGTCACAGGACAACCTGACCTGTATATGGCTGATTATAGCTGGAGCTAAACTGACCCCAACCTCATTGTTATTTCTGCCATTAATCGATAAGTTGTTTGGTCTGTAAATATCACACACTAGCTTAAATCACTAAGCTTCTGTCTAGTCTAAATTGAACTACATTCAGTTTACTAAAATATAAGCAAAAAGAAGCAACAAATATAATCAGCATATAATAATCAACGGTTAATTCTGGCATTAAGTAAATGATGTTTTTGCTTTAAATGTCTTTGACATTGCCACACTAAAAAATGTACTAATGTTTTTCATATATTTCAACTTTATATATTTGAATGATCAGGTATGATGAGCACAATAGGAGAATGGACCCTGGCTTCCCCAGACTCATCCGAAACGATTGGTCTGGAGTCCCCAGAAGGGTTGATGCTGCATTTAAGTTACAAGGTAAAAAAAAATAAAAAGGAAAAAAAGACTCAGGAACTTCAAAATGTGGACCTTAGCAGCCAGCTGCAAATAGAGTACAACTGAAATAGAAGTTGTAATTTCTTTTTTCATTTTTTTAAAACCGAGTTTAGGTTTAGGTAGTAGACGGGTGGAGTTTACCACACCAAACACACTTTGAAACACCATCTAGTTTCAGGAACGATATAAATTTGACAAGTAGAAATAGAATACTATTCAGAGGCAAACATGGCTGTGCATATGCCAGGCAATTACACTCCACTCACTCACACTTAAAGGATCTACAGGAGCCATGTCTCACGCTCTGTTTTACTTACTGTTTCATTCTCACTTAACATGTGGGTGGATTTTGGCACCAAAGCTCTGTATGCTTTAGAGGGGGGGAAATCATAGTATGAGCTGAGAGACATCCACTCACTGTTTTTGTATGATTTTCTTTTCACAGGTAGCATCTTTCTCCTCTGTGGAACAAAATCCTACCAGTATGACTTCAGACAAAAACAAGTGGTGAATGTAATTCCAGGAAAGTCTTGGCTGGGATGCTGAATTGAAACAGACGTGAGAAAGACAGCGAGAATTCCTCAGTTATAAAATCACAAAAAACCCTCTGAATATGTTAAGCTAAGATAACCATGTAGCGGTATAGTAGTTGTGCTACATTTTTTAAGCATATGTGTACTTGTATGTGAATTATACTAACCCTATCTCTGATTATACTAATCCTGTGTCTCATTCGTTCCTGTTGTACATTGGTAGTAATACTTCTTAATTTGTGCATGAATATACTAAGTACTCATACTGTGAGAGTCAAATGTAAGGTGTACATTTTTGTCAGTACTCTACACGTATTCAAACCCATGTACTCAAATCTTCTTTCAAAATGTACATCCAGTTAAATTACATCTTCAGGAAACCTCTCTAAAAAGCTTACCAGTGAACTCAGCAGGATGTTTGTTATTAAACTCACCTCAATAAAACAGAATTTTTGTGAAGTGCCCCACGACTATCTTTGCAATGCTGGAATCTTACATATTCTTATTAGCAAAAACAATATGCAAATACCCCAAAAAGTGCAGGGGTAAGGCTTTTGTTCTAAATTGCTCTTAAGAGTTGTTGCAAATGACAGCCTCTCAATGCACACTAGTGACACTCACGCTACATTAAACTTTATTGTATTAATTAAAACAAAAAAATAATGATTGAATGTTCAATATCAAAACACAAAAATGTTGGCAAAAGCATTGTTTTTTCTTGATAGAGTGGTTTATGCTTTAATTTGATGGTTTTGGAAACATAAGCCTCATTTAATTGGATGCTCCCGCCTGCAGCAGCTTTAGCACACTGTACCTATACCCCCCTCCCAAAAAATAGACAAAATAATGAGGAAATTTGGGATAAAGCTATTTAAGCATCTCTCTCAAAATGACAACATCAGCACAAAAACATGATCTAAACAACCTTTTTTTAGCAGGAAGGTAAAATGGATCATAACAGCTCCTCCCGCTGTGTTATCAGAGGGGCCGCTCAACTCCTCTTTTTTCTCCACTGTGGTAGCTTTTCCTTTTTACTGTGCGTTCTTATTGATGTTTTATCAGAAAAATATGCACCTCAGACTGTCGCGGCTGCCCTTTTAAGAGGATAATGGATAGCAGACAGAAAAGAAGATGTCTCTGTTTTTGAATAGTACTGCTGGGCTGTTTATCCCTGTCTCGTGGAGTGTTTACTATAGTGCCTGAAGATTATCCTTGAAGGCAAAAACATTAGCAAAGTAATGTGATGTAAAAATGGGTTTTATACATTTATTATAAAATAAATCTGTCATGATCAGTCTGGCCAGACTCAAACGGAGGACTCGGGAAGGAAAGTTCAGTGAGTTTATTTACAGTGTTGGTGCAGATAGTGCTATATGGTCTTTTTGAAGTGCTCAGTTCAAAAGTGCCAATATGTCCAAAATCCAATAGAAGGAAGGTTCTGTGAATCCAGGTCCCCGATCCTCTGAGTCTCCCCAGCAGAAGCTCCACCGAGTAACAAACACTGTCTCTGAACTCCGCTGGGCTGTTGTAGGCACAGAAAGAGAGACGGTGGAGAAACACAGGAGGACTGTGACAACATTATAGTAATCATATAAAAAAAATCATCTTCCATTTCTTCCTGTGTAAATTGTCTCAGCTCATTGTTGTGATGTCTTAAATGTGACGCATCACCTTTTTCATCTCACATCTTCACTCATTAATCAATATTTTAGTTACTTAGAATTTTATATTGTACAGAAATATGACGTGGACTGGCAAAACTGACAAAGCCGTTGTAATGATAATACAGTGACTTCAGAGTCACTCAGTAAACTTCTACTTCACATCACTCTTATCGATGTGGCACACTTGAAAACAAACAGGAGCTGCCCAAACTAGAAATGTCCCCACTGAATTTGAAACAGGTAAACAATGTTACAGCAAACATGCAATCGTCTTCAAGGGCGGATGTTAGGAATTCATTTGGGAATGTATCTTTGTTATGGTGTTAGTGGGTTATAAGGGTGTTGATGCCAAATGATCCCCTGGTTTATGGGATTATCTTTGGTGACACACACCCTTTCATAGGACCTGGAGGCTCACACAACTTCTGACAACAGGGTCACAGAGAGGACGCTAAGTTTCAGAATATGTGATACATATAGTATTGTAACAGTCTTGAGTCCCCACTCTTTTCTTTATATTTTGCTAGGGTAAATAGGAAACTGGTACAGTGATTGATTAAAACATATATATTTCACATATTTTATTCTTAACAAAAAAGAAAAAAAAGCACAATTTCATTGTACGTGTACAATGAGAATAAAGGGCTATTCTATTTATTCTATTCTATAAGGCAAAAACAGGATGTACAATTCTACAATTTCTACAGTTTCTCTGCCCTCTTTAGGTATGACAACATGCAACTAGCAGGACTGATATGAGTTGCATATATCAACATGCAGTGACACAGCAAAACATTGGGAAACAATTTAAGCTGCTGTGTTTTTTCTCGATCGTGTCTGAACTGTTACGTTGTGAAACGCTCACATGCTTTGCTCAGATGCTGCAATTTCGGAAATAAGACCACACAGTTTGTAAAGCCACATAAGACGAGCTCCAATAACGGAAGAAGCCTGAGTCACCGTTTTGAACATGGATATGGATAAATTAAGGATTTTATAGTTTAGTGTTTCATGTGTTATGGTTGAGGCACAGAGCAAGAACAGGCCTATGAGGTGATCCAGTACAAATGTTACAACTCACAAGAGTAGGAGACCTTCAAATGGTTAGTTACCAAAAATTCTCCTCTGAGTTTTAGCTTTACTGCCAAAAGTCAAAATATCTGTTACTAAAATTTCTGACACTCCAGTGCAGTGGAAGTGTGTACCGTTGATTTCATTTATGCACAACAGCAAATCCCCACTCTCAGTTTGTCCTCTGATAATTGTCAAAAAGTTGTTCAATTTACAGTACGATCTATAAATTATGCAGACGCACCACAAGGGAAATTTCATTCACTTCCACTGAATCAGGCACGTCTAAGAAAAAAATATATCTATATTTCACTTTGGTTAGATATCCTTGGTGTATGTACCCTTTAATTTGTAGAAAATATTTGGTTGTCTTAAAGAGAAAAACTATTTTAAAAAAGATTAGAACTGCTTCTAAACAGATTTAAGAGAATGTTGACCATTTTATTGCAATTACGTTTTGATAAAAAACAGGTGGTAGTGCTGGTGTAATTTGGACAGGAAATGCTGATCATGTTAGATGTTCTAATCTCCAACAGTCAGGAATATTTAAACATGCAAGATGTCCTTGTAATTGGTGATTCATTTTCAGCACATAAAAACAATCACGCAAACATCAAATAAGTCTCAACCACACAAGCCATCATGAAGAATGGGTAAAGACATTATCTGAAAACTCAGCAGAGAGAAATACTGTTTGTGCACATCTCAATCTAAAACAGCTGCTGGAGCGGAATCTTGTAAGGAGTTCAAGTATGGTAGCCATCTCTAAACACAGTACCTTAACATAGAAGGTCATGCCATTCAAATTACTATAAATTTGAGTTACAGCAAGATGTTTCCTTGTCAGACATGAGGTGTATCATTGTTACAGCCTTCTTGGTAATCTATGTCAAAAAGCACTCACCTCTGACTTTTTAATCACAATAAGCTGCTGCCCCCCCCAAAAAATCCACTAATTATATTTCATAGTGGTAAAGTTTTTTCTCATCTACTTCCTTGACATGCTGGGAAAAAAAGGAGCAGGATATATTTTGAAAAGGTACTACGGCCATTTCCACACCTGACAACTATTTTGTAACTATTTGCAGCGGCGTAGTAGTTTTAAATCAGCATATATTAAATGCCTCACATTTTACCTAAAACACTACATTAAAAAAAAAGCAGCACAGAAGCCAGAAAGAATTGCTGCATTGTTAACTCTCCATCTCCCTCAGAGTTAACAATGCAGCGTCTTCTTTCTAAATCTGTAGGTTAATAGGACTTTGGAGCGGGATCTTAAGGGATGGGGCGTGGCCAGGATTTTTGCTCGAGGCGCCATATCAGCAGGCCAAACAAATGCTTGCTGTGTGTGGACACACAGACACGCATACACGTTTACACACACAAACCATCATATAGAAGAGAGATTTCTGAATAGCGATTTTGTTTCTGTTTTTTGTTAAAGAGACATGAAAGACCTCAACTTAAGGTTAAGTGTATAAACTTGAACTTGAAACATCTTTATGATGCAACCAAAAGAATCGTGAATCTGAAAAGCTACATGATTTTTCTGGATTTTATTTTTGTCGACTTATGAAGTTATATATATTGTTTTGTATATTTTTGAAATTTCTTAAGGAGAAGATTGGTCTTAACCAATTACTGTATAAAAGATGAACGACACGACAGCACTTCCTCCCATTGTGCAAAAATGAAGCCAAAATATCCCGCTTGTGGGAGCTGCCATGTTCCACTTTTGGAGCCAGAGTCTGCTCAGTAGTAACTCGTGGCGGAGCGTCTCTGCCCACACACCCACTGGACGTGACCGTGAACAC